CAGGGAATCTGAGGGGTGTATCTATTTTCTCGATCACATTTTATAAACGATAGTGGTACAGTGAAAATTGTGTCCAGCTGTTATTTAAAAAAAGAAAAACAAGTGCTTACAGTTTGTGTTTTTTGGTTATCGTTTTTATACACGACAGTAGAGGGCATGTTTCTCGTCGATCGAGTATCATTAGGTGTAACGGTGATCGGTATAGTCGGCCGTTTCAAGAAACGGGTGAAAATTAAGAACATCTGCGCCTGATATCGACAACCCCGTAGTGTCACGTTGAGAAATACCGTCCTGGCATGTGACAAGTGTCCGGTACAGTAGTTTCTCTAGCCTAATAATTTCAACAATCCTAATGTTTTCCTTTGAAAATAGGTATTTGATCGATTTTTTAAGTGTTCCCATTTTTTATTTCTAATTTTTTTTTCAACACACTTTTTTGAGAAATACGCGCGCAACTTGTATATAGGTTATAAGCGATAAAAGTCGACAATTTCGCGGGTGACTCATTGATATCGTTATTTGCGATTCGACCTCTCTTAATTTGATTCGCTTTCACGCTCCGCGACTTGGCTAGCACAGAGTGGCGCGATATGTCGAACACGAAACAGCGTTTAAAACACTCCGGCGAACACTTAGCCGAATTTCCATTTCAATTGCCAGCCGCATTAATATTCATAATCGTGTAAATAAATTAGACCGCCCCGTTACAGATGTAAACTATTAGCTATTTATTAGCTGCGCATGTTTCACACAGCGCGCCGCGGTCGTTAATTATTTCGCTGCTCGAGGTACTCGTACTTTAAACTTCAAACTCTTATTCCTTAAGACACTTTTATTCTTATGCACACTATGAACTTTTAAGTTCCTTGAATTTTCAAGTTCTCGGCGAACTGTACAAATTTAAAATTCTATCTAAAAAAATGGTCAGCTCCTTACGCAACACCTTTGCGAATACAAATTAAAAAGGTATAGTCATTTCACATAAATCCACAAAATTCAAACAGTAAATTCCTCTTTTAAATAAAAAATCTATTCAGGCATTTTTATATATTAGCTAATGTTTATATTTCCAAAAATTTGCGGACTTGAAATAAATTCGAAAAACGTGCCCTTATTCTCTCTCTCTCTCTCTCTCTCTCTCTGTCTCTCTTCCCCCCTCTCTATCAAACGTGCCCTTATTCTCTCTCTCTCTCTCTCTCTCTCTCTCTCTCTCTCTCTCTCTGTCTCTCTTCCCCCCTCTCTATCAAATATTTGGAATATACGTAATGGAATGCAGGCACGTGGCGTGGTCACAAAAGTGGGGGCCATTTCCAGAGGTTGGTGGTGGGGGACGGCGCGAGTGGCCTTGAACGATCATAGACTTCGATCGAGGCTATAACGAGACTGCCTCAACCGTCTTCTAACTCTTCTAAATCAATTACCACGAGCATCATCGCCCTGGCAAGCAAGAGTAATGTTTTAATTGGCCGCTTTTCACCGGTC